CCGGGGGGGCTCCGCGCCCGGCGGCGGCGCTGGGGGCTTCGCCGCCTCTGCAGCGGCCGCGCGCACCTGGCGCCGCGCGGGGCTTTGTGTGCGGAGCCCCGGGCGATATTGCCATTATTGTGGTTATTATTGTTGTTAATTGTCCTGCCTGCAGCGTCACCGGGACCACCGAGCAGCAACGCAGCCCGTGCCGCGGAGCGGGGGATACATCAAATAATCTGCCTTCGTCCCCCCCTCCCCGCTTGCTTTCTGTTGTTTTGCTGCGGAGGTCGTTAATTYTGCTGCCTTATCACGCCGCTGTCACCTGCACTGTTCCCAGGCCTCCGCGTGAGGATGCGGAGAGCCATAGCATGGCACGGGTTTAGGGAAAAAAAAAAAAAAAAAGGAATATTTCATCCCCTCCACACGTTCAGAATTGCAGCTCTGATCTCAGGAGAGGGAAGGGGTGAAGGGAAAGAGAGATGCTGATTTGTGCTAATTTTTTTTTTATTTTTTTCAGGGAGAGAGAGAGAGAGAGGAGAGGAAGCCGTGATCCTGCGAGAGGAGGAGGAGCGGGAGCGGATGTGCAGCAGCAGCCGGTGTGCGGCCGCGGCGCGAGCAGGTGCGGCTGGAGGGTGCCCMACAGGGCACGGCTCGGCGCTGCCCCTTCCCTCTGCTTTCCCGGGAGACAGCGGGGCAGCGCCGGCCGAAATGCCCTGCAGGGAACGGCAGCTCCCGCTCCCCGCTCTGTGGCCACCGCGGTCCTTTTTCTTACCTCTTCCCTAGTCGCGAGGTGAGGGAGGAGGATTTGCGGCTCCCGGGTTATCCGTGAGGAAGCGGGTAGGCAGTGGGAGGCCGCGCTCCTCCCTGCACGGGGAGCTGCCACCGCCCGGGAGCTGCGRCAGGCTGCAGGGCCCGGCTCTGTCACCTCTCTCCGTGCTGGGCCAGCTCTGAGCATGTGGGCTCCGAGCTGTGCCTCTTGCAGCACGCATTGCTAGCGTCAGGAAACGTCCTGGGAAAGAAAACCTTTTTTATTAACTATGTTTCTGCTTTGCAGCCGCTGGATTCAGTTGCATGCTTCTTTTGGGGAGCAGCCCTTTTGGTGTATCCCCAGTCCTACTTTGGGAATATTTCTGCTGCTCTAAGGTTGTGGCTCCCATTCATGGCGCTCAGGCAGCCAATCTTTGAGACTGCAAGTTGCTGCAAGAATTTATCACGTGMACCCATCTGCAACTGGCACTGGGTCCCGTGGCTCAGGGAGGCTTCRGAACTGCATCTACACACCAGTAAATTTCTGCACTTTAATAAGTCACGTGTCTTTGTTTTTCTGTGTGTTCAGGATGTGTAAAGGATAAATGCCAAGCGCCAAAATGAGCGTGACGTCGTGGTTCTTGGTGAGCAGTACTGGCATTCGCCACCGGCTCCCTCGGGAGATGATATTTGTTGGCAGAGATGACTGCGAATTGATGCTCCAGGTAACACGATGGCTTTGGTATTGCTTCTGGAGATGCAGTAGATGCTTATATAATCTGGGGATGTATAAGATGTTACCTGTTTTCTTCAAATGAATTCTTTTAAAATGATCTATTTTTTTCAATGGTGCCTGCCGTTCCCATGAAGGCTTGAGATGTTCATGAAAGTGCAAGTGAGGTTGCTTTCAAATAGCTATGTCAGCAAATGGATAGGATCTGTGCTGGTGGGAGATTAATCAGATCGAACAGATTAACTATCTTCATGCTACTAGAAGTAGTAAGCAAAGATGTGCTGTTCTGGCCTGATCTGTAAGTGATTATGTTACTGGTTTTGTAGCTCTTCGTACGTGTACTGTTTGCTAGTATGTGTGATTTGGAGGGAGCTGCAAATAGGGTTTTTGTTTGTTCATTTTGTTACTCTGTTTTTTCCTCTCTCTAATTCAGTTTTGGTTGTCAGTGTTTATATCTTTGTGGTTTGGGATTTTTTTTTTTTTTTAAATGGTGGAAATACTAAAGTTTAGCAGAGAAAGTCTAGCAATTCTGGTGATGTCTTCTTGTTGCCCAAGTAATTGTGTTACTCTTGCAAACTTGTAGCTTTTGCTAGTGTTTTTCATACCAATGTGTCCCTTTGCTAGGCCTAATCTGGTTTGTCTGAAGTGTTAATGGTGGTCTCGTGTTTGACAGCATAAAGCAATGGACCTCTCTCCAAGCAGACAGGCCTGGAATCTTGCAAAGAGCCTCTGACAGGAGCAGCTCTGCTCAGGAATGGTGTGAACTCAGGATTAAAATTAATATTGCTGCTAATGCTGTTGGGGACAGCAGTGGCTGTTGGGRACAACATGATAAAGCAACCTGGCACCCAGGGGGACTCCCTTGCCCTCAGTTCCCACTGCAGACCTGTGCAAAGGTATTTCCTAAATGCTTTTGCTAATCTTCTACCAGACAGGTGGTGTTTGTAGTTGCTCCAGGGGCTTTGTATGATGTGAGAGCACGAGGTCTCTTTTAGGGCCAGAAGTTCTCCTCATAGGAGGTGTGCATAGGAAGTAGTTGTTTGCTAAGGTGGTGTCTGGCTGTAATAAAACTTTATGATCACAGAAGGAAAGCTTGTGCTATTTGTACTGCTCTGCTGGTTGGCGGTTAACGAAATGGCTGTGCTGCACTGAGGGAGTTTGGATAGTAAATCATTTGTTTAGGTTTTCCCATGAATCATGCTATCTCTTATTTCATGTTTCCACATGTCTGTCTGGTGAGACACGTAGAGGTTGTTAAAAACATCCTTATTTTCTCTGTGTCTGTATTTGGCTGCTTTAAAACCTTATTGCCACACTCTCTTATGGCTAAAAGGGAGAGAATATACACAGGGCTTTAGTTCCCAAAAATGAACTGAACTTTAGGTTGTCAGTCTTAAGACCTATTTAAGGTGCTGGAATTTTCTTTATGRTCTTTAGGTTCATCATGCTAAAAATCACGTCTCAAGCTGGGCATTCCAAAATAAAAGCACCTCGGTTTCAGTCATGCCTAAAATGTGCTGCTTAGTTCAGGGTTAACTGGATAGCGTGGACTGTGACCCACTCGGTAGCACATGGAGCATTTCATGCTGCTTTGCAAGTCTGAGCTGGCTTGTCAGTGTTGCGTGTGGACTGGCAACCTTGTGTCACTGTAAATTTGTCATGCTCTTTTCCATAAAGTAAGCAAAGTGGGATGCTGGGAGGAACCAGCAGGATCTGAAAGGAGTGAGTTGTATTTGGGGCTCAAAGGTGGTGGTAGGAAAGGRGGTTTTCATTGTTTAGCCAGAACGAAGGCTCTGCATAGTCTATAAAAGCCAGCTGCTAATATACATAGGGTGAATGACATGTGACCCTTTATAAACATATTATTTTACTGTATCTAGTAATAAAGTCGTTTCTAAGATGACGTCAGGTTTCATTTTGAAYGATGCAGTGCATTTTTTTTCTCGCCTTTTGCTTATAAAGATGTTTTCCAGAGCTACAGTGGGCTGCAAATTACGACGTTTTATAGTAAAACTCAGCGCAGGAGAGAGGCTGCAAGCACATGCCTGATATCCAAGCAAAGTTGTGTGCGAGCAGATGGAGGATGGGATCTAAAAATAGACTTTTTTTCCTACTGTGACCATCCATGTCGCAAAAMCATTGGCATTCCTGTTGGGGAAAGCTTAAGAAGAGGGAGGTCATCAGAGCAGATAGGAATATTACCACGGAGAGCTTTGTCCATCTGCCACGTTCCTGCATGGGACTGACCCAGGAACTGCATGTTCACTGCACACTTACTTTGCTTATATGTTTGAAGAAACTGAATGCCATTTCACTAGCATTTAATCTCCTCGAGTGTACAGTTGGGAACAGACTGACATTGTTTGGGGAATGGGCTGGATGACCTGGTCGGTGTTCTTCATCCCCAGGATTATTGCCACTTAGTGATTTCATTGTGCTACGGTTTGTGGTTCCCTGTTGAGACCTGGTGTATTGGACCGTGCGCAAACAAGCGACACGGAGATAACCCTTGTCCAGGAGGGTTGTGCTTGCAGCCTGGCCCTACTCCTTTTACTGTTTGAGACATTCCTTGTCCTTGATATTTTCTTGGCAATGTTGCCCAAGGTACCAGATCACTGAGCAACAAAAATGATGGCTTTATCAGTGAGCAGTAAAGCTTTGCTTTTACCTGCACGTGCGAGGTTCATACAGGTACTGGAGTTGCATCCTAGTTAAGRAGGAGAGGAAGAAAACCACAGTATTGGAGCTTAAAGTTAAGTAGGCCTGATGGTGGAGAAACATAATCTGCCTCGAAATCTTCTATACCTGCTAATAGGATTAGAAATATTTTAAATGATTCTGAAGCATTGTAAAGCTTCTTGTGTGTGTAAACGTGAGATTTACATTGAGTTTGGATGTTAATGCAAGGGAGAAAATGCCTTGTAAAGTAATGTGGCACACACAGTGTTGTTAGGGCTAGTCAAGGGCTCAGTTCTCTTGTATTTTTTTCTGAAGCACAGTACATGAAACTATTAAAGAAATCGTAAGAAATCGCTTAAAAGAATAGTCACCAGATAGCAAAGTTGTGGAGTCCAAACTTTGACTGACCTGTAAGAAATGCTTTTTTTTTTTTTTTTTAAATGAATCTTGGTAGCAGGAAGGGAATCATTCTCTGAAATATATTTACTTTGGGGAATGCTGGGTTATAGAGAAGTAAGAGCTTTTTATGACAAACTAGAATGAAATTATTCTGCTACCTGCTTCACACACATTTTTGTGAGGAAATGTAATTGCAAATTTTATCAGCTTTGATCGTTTGCTTAATGTGTTGGATATGTACCATGGAGGGGGTGTGAACCTTCCACAAAAGGAAATTTTTACTTAAATGCTAAAGCTTCCCTCCCCACCCTAAAGCAAAACAGCTTTCTATCTTTTTAACAAATATAAWTATAAAACAGAGAAGCAAAGCAGCTATGACTTCTATGTGCTTTTCTTTTCTTTTTTTCTTTTGAGAGATATTTTTATTTAAAAAAAATGTGGAAGTAACTGTTCAACTGGTGCTGCCTTGAGTGTTTACCTCGTTTTGGAGCAGAGATTTGAGCATATTCTTGCACTCTGTGTGTGGGAGTGCGTCGCAGCAGGAGCGGGTGCAGGGGGCACGGTGGTTTCCTTAAGCAAAGTGGCCTCTGGGCTGCGAGTCCTTTAAGGCAACCTGGCGCTTCCTGTGGCGATCCCTCCTCTCCAAGTGCCTGTGACTTTGCTGAACTTTGTAACTGAGTTGAGTTTATGTTCTGGGTGTCCCTTTTAGGCAGCATGCTCTGGAAGAGATCAGCTCAATTCCATAGTCTGCTCGGAGAACAGGTTCAGGAAAAATGCTGTTTCCTTCATGTAAAATATTTAGAAGTGTATTTAACCTGTTCTTTGAAGTGCTGGTGCTGTGGAGCCGGGGGCTTGACATTTTTCAAGAGGGAGTTTCTAGGTCGGGGATGTTGCTTTCTCCCATCAATAATCTAAATGCATTTGGCCGAGGCTCAAGCCTTTGAAAACAGTTGAAGCTTGCATGTGGTCAGGAGGGACTTATTATTTTAGGAAATGTTTAATTTGGAAGTGAGGTTGGTATAGGGAAAGATTAGGTGAGAGACAAAGAGGACAGACCTATTTCAGGTCGGACAAAAAGGCACTAAATGGAGGCATCCAGGAGAGCAGAGTTTCGATGTGAGAATGACTGTCCTAGATTAAATCAAGGTGCCTCTCACCCAGCATCCTGACTCAGACAGGGGCCAAAAGAAGCTCTCGAGGAAAGTGTGAGGAYGAGCTAAGAGCATAATGACACTTCCAGAACTCTTGCTTGCCCTCCAACAGTTTGCATCTTGGGGAGCCATGGGCCAGCTCTTTGTGTTYAATTGTGAATTACTGTTCAGTGACTGATAACCTGCAGCAAAAGGTTAGGATGCTTTGGCAGCGCAGGGAGGTGTTCCAAGAAGCTGGATTGAGGGTACAAGGTGAGAGGAGGAGCAACGAGCAGGGAAGCAGCAGGGCTCAACAGGATAGGGGATGAGAAATACGGGGTGGAAACAGGTCAGTGTGGGGAAAGTGAGTGTTTCAGATKCTGAGCATCATTTCCCCCAGACCTGAGCTTGGCTCAAGGCTTGCTTGTGCTCTGGTGTCAGCAAAGAGCTGTGAAAGCTCCTAGCCAGGCATCTGTCACTGACCCATGTGGGACATTGCATGTTGCTTGTGACTAATCAATTAGTCAGTTAAACAGCAGGGGCTTGTGAGCTGAGCATGCGGGTCTGTCCTGCTGCTGAACTGAAGAGATGGTAGTTTGATTTTGCTTGGATTGACGTTTTCCTCTTTTTTTTTAGCTTGCTTTGGTGAAAAGCTGGGATATTGCACGTGTCCTAGGTATGAAAAGAGCATCTGTATGACTGCGAAGCGAGGTATTCATAACTGCAAGGCAGTTGCAACACAGCAGGAGCACAGCAACTGTGTGCCCCTGCCTCTGCCCCTGCG